AAAAAAACACCAACACACTAAACCGAACACAAATTCAATTTTCTTTCCAACCGATAAGAGGATATCACTCACCCCCTGACCGTGGTAGTCATGTAGGTCGCCGAGGGAGGGCCTCTTCTTGGCGTGGATCCTGTAGTTGTCGACGCGGGGAAGGGCCTCGCGCGTGAGCTGCACGAGGGAGCGGCGCCGCTGCTGCTGGCGCTGCCGGCCCAGGTCGTACAGGCAGGTGGTGGACGCGGCCGTGAACAGGTCCAGGTCGCCGTCCACGCTCACGCCCAGGGTGGGCGCCGTGTCGTGCCGGCGCATCTCCAGGACGCCGTTCTCCGGCACGTCCGGGATGCGCACCTGCTCGCCGTTGACCGTGAAGCGCGTCGACGACATGCTGCGCTGCGGGCAGAAGAGAAGCGAGTTCAGTCGTCGTCGGACGTCATCGCGGTGCGGTTGTGCCCGTCGAGCAGCCCCAAATTATTTCAGGAACATACAATGTGGTCACGACTTTCGGTAAAATTAGGAATTTTATCCCCAGAACGTTGTGCTTCTCTGTAATAAGGTTCTGCCCCGACCGTTCCTACAATTACTGCCCCACGTTTTGAACCGGCTGCCTAAAGCGTACCGGTCATGCCAAGGGCACCCCGACTGCCATACTGCGTTACCCCGAGGTTTTGCCCCGTTACGCCTGGGGCCATGGTGGTGAGGTGGGTGAGGTACCGCCCCGGGCTGTGCGTGAACGGCCCGTGCGACTGTGCGTCAGCCGCGTCAGCGCAGCGGCACTCGGGATGACCTATCCGATCGGGTGTGATCCGGACAACTCCGGTCTCCCTCCGCCTGGAGCCGGTCTGGAGGGTCTGGAGTCACCTGGAGTCGGTGTCCAGGGCTCCAGGCAGGGTGCGACAGAGCAGGGCGAGGCGCGAGGCGCGGTGCCAGGGAGGAAAAGAGGGAGGGGGTAGCAAGTCGCGGCGCAGCAGGAGGACGTCGCGTCGCCCTGTAGCGAGCCCTCGGCGCGAGTCCTGTCCCTCCCCGCGCGGCCTTGCCAGGCCCGGCCCTGCCGAAATCGAATTCCTTCCCAGAGACAGATAAGGCTTTTATGGGGCCGGGGAGGGGGAGGGGGGCGGCGCCGTGGTCATAAACCCACGTGCGCCAGACTCGCGCCGCGGCCGCTCTGTCGCGACATTTTAGGCTAAAATTAGTCGAAACGCGCGCCAGCTGCCGGTCTGAGGCTCGACTCCCTTTTCTATCGAGTGTCAGGGTCAGAAGGCGACCCTTCCCGCGACCTTTTGGGACACGAGCCGCTGCGGGCGTCCTCGCGGGTCCTGGACACGGCCTGCGCGAGGCGGGACACGAGGGTGCCGTACGCCGCGCCGCACGTCCGTCCAGCCTTGGGGATGCGCCGCAACGCCGACGCCTTTTAAGTCGGCCGCGCTCGCGCTATCGGTCCGTGGCGTGGCTGCGAGGCGAGGCGACGCGCTGACTCACCTCGCGCTCGGGCTGTCCTCGGAGACGCGCGCACGGACACACCCGCCCCCGACCGACCCCGCC